TAGTATTATCATCGGCAGCAAAAGCATGACAAGGAAAGTGCCAACTAAGCTATCATGGAACTTCAAGAAGGCTGACTGGCCTAGATTCACAAACCTTTCAGAGAATGAACTTCACACAACATCCTGACAAACTTTGCAACGAAATCACGAATATTATGATCAGATGTGCAAAGCAAACTATTCCCCATGGCAAGACTAAACACTATCGAACCAACAAGTAGCCACTTTCTCCCAACATATCAAAGATGCCCTTGATGCAAGAAATAGTCTTGCCGCTGTATTCGTCGATTTCAAATCAGCACATGACTTAGTATGGAAAGAGAAGCTAATTCTAAAATTGGCAAAGATTGGTATTAAGCATAACATGCTAAACTGGATAAAAGCATTCATTGGACAAAGATCATGTAAAGTCAGATATGGAAATGCTCTATCAAAATCCAATCTTTTACAAACGCCTTCCACAAGGAGCTGTCACAAGCTGCACTCTTTTCGATGTCTTCGTCAATGACATAGCCGAATTGGTACAAACAGTCACGGGCATCAAGTGCTTACTTTATGCAGATGATCTTGTACTATGGTATTCCGCCCCTAAGAAAAACGCTCAGGAGGGGACGGAAAGTACCCTAACTTATGTACTCAAACTATCAGCAAACTGGTCCCACAACAATGGAATGGTTATCAACACAGCAAAAACTGCATTCCAAAAATTTTCTTTGGCCCGTCAAAGCGTAAACCCGCCTTTAGGGGTCAAGTATACTTCTCTAGAAAAATCAATGAGTTCACTTATCTCGGAATGACGTTTGATACAAAGGTAACATGGAAAGTCACATTGCTTAAATAGCAGAACGAGTCTCCGATAGATTGAATGTACTGAAGCGTCTTGCTGGTAGCGTATGGGGCTGTGCATGTTCAGCTCTAAACACCACTTACAAGATGTTTATTCAGCCAATAATGTTGTATTGCTGTGAGCCACTCATTACAGCCACAGAGGTGACTCTCAAACCACTGGAGAAGGCACACAACCAAGCATTACGACTAGTTACTGGAGGGGTAAAATCAACACCCATTGATGCAATGCTCCTAGTTACAGGAAGCACCACAATATATTCCCTTATCAATGAAAAGGCCTTGATCCTGTATGAGAAGCTACTGCGCATTCCCATGGATAAGTTCTTCAGCACCAAGACATCTGAAAACGTAATCTGGTATAATACAGAAAGCCATAGAACTGAAGAAAGAATTACAAATCGATGACAAACCAAAAAGCCTCTCTCTCCCCATGAACCCATTAGCAGACACTGATGTAGTGTGTTGCCCCCAACTGCTCAACTTCTTCAGGAAATCAAGCACCCTCCCAGAGCAAATGTGCACACTGGCCCTTGAGACAATCAATGTCAACTATCCTGCAGATCAATGGCTCCAAATCTTTTACTGATGGGTCATACATAGAAAACCAAGCAAATGTTGGTGCAGGTGACTATTCTGAACTCTTCTCTTTCTACCCACCAACGGGACACAATAGATCTGCTTTCGAAGGAGAAATAGAGGCCATTGGGGTAGCACTAAGCCAATTATGTTGTCTCGATACGAAATTCACCAAAGCGGTAATACTTTCGGACTCACAGTCAGCAACAAACTTAATTGGAAGCAGAGAGCCAAACGTGTAAGGGCTAATGATAAATATCATAAAGCCTGCCATTTGAAAAAAACTATCATAAAATCAGCAGTTTGAAATAAATATTAATGGACAGATCATTTAAGGTGGCTAGGTAGAGTGAACAGATTTCTCTGTCGAAATGCAGGCTCAAAGCTTGTATTGGGTAGTTTAATCTACTCTCTCGTACTCGGTGCATAACCAGCGAGGTACACGACTGACCTATTGCCTAAAATAGAACATGATGATTATTAGAAGGTGGATTTCACACCTGAATGCTACTGATTTAAGCAAGAAGAGTGCTGGAATATACTTGTTGCTTAAGCTCCCTATTATGTTAGAATAATAACGTTTCAGTACTTTGGGTTTTTTTGAAGTTCTGAGGTTTCTGACTATAGTGTGAGATCACTCAGGTTGAATCACCTTGGCGGGGGGGTACATTATTTACTATCCCTGACGATTTTAAAAATGGTCTTCGTTTATTCAGCAACCAAAATGTTCGAGATTCTGTCCGCAGAAATAAAGGTTCTTACTGTGGTGTGCCCATCGCTCCCATGCAAAATTTTCCCCTACCTCCTGCCACACTTTCTACTGCAACTTCATTTGAGGTGATTGGTGAGTAAATTTAACTTTATGCAACACTCAAAGGTATTTCGAATCTTACGAATCTCACACCATGGAACCTTCCATGCCTGAATTCGTTTCAGTCCAAAGGAATGGTGGAGGAAGGTGAATTCCTTGCCAAGATTTAGGAAGCATTTCCCGTGATCTAGTCGAACATTGGAAAACACCTACCAACGGCTCTCCTGGGAATTTAAATGTACTCATTTTACTATCATCTCTGAGGGTTTGAAATTCTTTTGGGAAATGTAATCCAATTTTGATCAGACAGCGACTCGAGTCTTGTCACGAGAATGCTTATTTCAACTTATAAATCACCATTCACTTTCATTCTTCAAAGCCATCCTTTAGTCTTTACTCCCAATTTCAAAAATTAACAAAGAGGAAAGAAGTGTGTAAGTTGTGTAAATTCGATCTATTGAGATAGGGTGCTGATAGTCGAGTACATTTGCTACTTCATGTTTATGCGTGTGTTATCCCAATCAGGCATTTTGTATACCTTTTTAATTAGAACTGACAACAGTCACCCGGAGTGTAAAACAAAACAAACCCCCCCCCCACCTCCTCCTCCTTCCTTTCAGATTTAATAAAGTAGAAACAGGGGTCCTGGTTGGAGCAATCGATTATAGCAGACTTTATCGGCGCCTTTACTGCAAGTAAAGCCTTAAGAATTGAACCGGAGCCATTTAGTAAAAAAATAAGCTCTCTTGAGGCAGCCAATTAACGCGTCTCAGCTCAGTCAAATTTTACGTACCATACTGACCACTGTTATAGTGAGTACTCAGATTGGAATTAAATCAGGTGTAAAATTCTAGCATAATACGGCTCATTGAACTCTTCGGAGAAATGGAAAAACATGAAGCAGGTGGAAATTCTTTTCTTAATTTTTTATCTCCTTTCCGAAATCAACAATCTGATCTAAATCAAGTTGCTTCTCCGAAGGTAATTCTAGTAATTTTAATCTAATTCGGATGCTGATCATTATTTTGGTTTGTAGTTGCAAGATCATTTAAGATGCCTGGATTCAGCCTATAGTCGTACTACACAAGGCCACAATGATACTCCCACGACTCGAACGCGTATCTCTAAACGACCAATAGCAAATGTAGAATTAACTCCTAGCCACTATCCGTCAAAACCCCTGAGAAATATGAACTCCATACAGTATTTTATGAATCTCGATGCCCACACACTCTTTTTCATCTGTTATTACCTCGATGGCTCGAAGGCTCAATATTTGGCCGCTAAAGTCCTAAAGACGCAGTCTTGGATGTATGACGCAGAAGATTGCAAATGGTTCAAAAGCATGGAACTTCCTACGCTAGTGAAGAAATATTTAGGAATTGGAAATTTTCATTATTATTACGATTCCGAAAATATGGTGATTTCGAGATACTTCTCCGAAAAGATTGAGCGCAGTGAACTAAGATTCGATGATTAGTAATGACAATATTTTCACTGACTTGGTTGTATAGTAATAATTATTTGATTCTCTTATACCGTCTGTGTACTGTTCCGGTAAAGTTCTAATTTCTCCCCTTCTGGTGACTATCCAATGTCCTTTTAATTTATAATAATTTTTTGTCTGTTATCTTGGCAGCGTGAAAAATGTTGATCGATCTTTGTTATGTTAAGCATAAAAAAATTCTAAGAAGTGGGCATAAGTAGATAAAATAAGGCTTCATTTCATTATAAGTAGCATATAAATTTGTGGCCAAATATTATAACTATAAATGTCCGAACTGAACAGCCTGTAGCGGATTGCTACGCTAATAAAGCCTGACCGACTCAGAAATCTCTATGGCAGATTCGCCAACATCTAGCTAGACTCCCAGAACAACCTAACCTATAGCCCAGCTATAAAGGAAACAGACGTGTAGCGCGGAGCACGTTTATTCAGTACGTATATTGATAGCGAATTGTGATTTTGGCAAAACGATTAGTTATCAGATAAATCTAGCATAATTCGAGTGAACATTAAAAGCAAAATATCTCTGAGTAGTGTTCTGTAGCAGGATTTCTATTGGTCATTGGCTGTGCTTCTCCGCAACCAATCCGTGTACGAGGTTGCACGGCCGCACCTTAAGCCTAGTGTGCGCGCCCGTGATTAAGTGTCCCACAAGCCAAACGAATTCAACCTTTATTTATTTATATCAAATGTCAGGCGTCATTAGCCCTTTGGTTAACTTCAGGCTTTACAGAGAGGAGGAGGAACACCAAAGTGGAAAAAAGTTGAGAGGGGAGGGGGGGGGGGGCAGAAGTGTTTCAAAGACTAGGGTAGAAAAAAGGTGAGGTGAGTACTATGGAAGTAGTCGAATATGACATACAGTGGGGTGATGGTAGTTTGAAGTCAGAAGTCAACTGCCAGTTAATGGACTTTTTTGCCGTATGAGTATACGTTGCCCAGGATGCACCACGTGGTGGTAAGTCTGTCGCACACCCCAGTTCAACATTATGTGCATATCTAGGCCTGAAAAAGGAGATAGTCAGGGTTTAAGTTTGTAGGGATACTACGAGATAGGTGACATTTTTTGTGCACACTTGATTTCTTCTCCCTCCCATGTATCCCATTTCCATTTTCATAGCACTTGATCAGAGCATTCTGCTGTTTCAAAAGTGGTCCCAGTTTTAGCCTGTCAGCTTCTCGTCACTAAATCTCCAGTCATTTCTATTATGCCCTACAATCTAATTAACCCCTATTCCATTGGAAATAATTACATTAAAGTGATCGCTAATCATTTAGCTTCAGTGTTATTTTTCGGGTTCAGAAATACTAGCATAGTCAATATTTTCGCCTTGAAAAATCAAGATTTGAATTTCATTTATTTCAATTAATCAAAATATTTTTAATCGAACTAATTAGTAACTCAAGTAAGCTTTTTGTTGCTTTTTGTTATTCCTCTATATTGGCTTGACAGTGAAGGAGAAAACACCGTCAGTATGCGTTTAAAACCTTCCTGGACCTTCCATCCGTAGGGTGGAACAAACACCCAAACGATGAGGCTATTGGTTGCTGACTGTAATTTTTTTACTCATCTACCAGAGATTTGTTCGTAATTATAACAAAATATTAGCTATTAAAGGCTTCTTTAGGGAAATTATTCCACCTTAGGACATTCGGATTATAGTCTATCATTCATCTGAGCCTGAATCCAAATCATTATATTTATTTTAGAATAATGTCTTATCAACGTTAAGGCATATTCTATGGCATAGGAGAAATGTATAAAAGGTAAATAACAATTTGCTTAGAAATAGTAGTATGATCAACACAACGACTGGTACTCCATGACTTTTAATGAAATAGCATGTGCTTCCTTTCTCTTTCCTTTAAATCCCCCGAATTACCGTAGCGTGTGCTAAAGCTAGAATCAAAGGGAATTCTTGGCTAAACAAGATAACTCTTTTATTCTCTTAAATCGTGGTATTATGGCATAGACGCCAAATACGACCGTTGTGGCAATGGGCTATAGGCATATGGATGACTATGCGAAAAGAATGGCACGTATAATTACAGCCAATTATGAGCTGAAGTGAAAACAATTGCATTAATCAACGTTGATTATTGATCAAAGGAAGTAGTACTTAAAATATTACAGATCGTGCAATATGGGAATCTGATGTCTTTTACATGAACTGTTTGTAATTACTACATCTTTAACGATTATTTTTTAATAAGGGGCAGAAATATTCTATCCTTAAAAATGTTCCTACCGTTAATAGTCAAAGTTAAAGGGCGTAAACACGAATAAGTGTTTTTTAAGCTAATTGATTTATTGCAATGCTTTAAGGATATCCTCAAAACTCAATAACTGATGCCATCTGTTTTGATTGGTACTTGGAAGTACAATTTGATTGAGGACTCTTTTATGGATAGCATTTTACAACTTTTTTATCCATTTTGTAGTATAACAATCACCACAACAATTTTTAAGTACTCAAGAAGTTTTCGAATGATCCCTACAAATTGTAACTAAATTTTTTGTTCGGGTAGTGATGTATCTCCAAAATTCTATTGTAGCTAATACTGAAACTCGCCCATTTTACGTGACTTATTAGTAAATATTACGTTGATTTTGCCCCAGTAACCTAAGTTATAATAAGGTCTTTGTTAATTGATTAAGGCAAATGTCTAAAGACTCTAGTAAATGCCTAAATCTTCCGATTGAGAATAACCCCGATTTAAAATATTTTTGCCTGAATATTGATTAAAATCACGTCGTACAGGAAGCGGAAAGTACGTGTTCCATTTAGTCATACGTAAGAAAATTATAGATTAGTGAAATTAACAAAATGCCTCTTAGATGCCTTAAATGGAGAATCACTTTACGTCTCAATGTTCAAAAGTGCGTTGACAATTAGAAAACGTAAAGCTTAAAATGGCTTATTCACTTAAATACGATCATTAGAAGATTTTAAAATTGACTATTTTCTCTTTGAAATTTTATTGGATAGTTTTAAATATTTAAGGCTTGAGTTATTTCAGCACCACAACTATTATAAGCCAGCAATAATTCCTATTAGCATTTTAAAAACGATATTTCAACAATTTTGAGATTAGTTTTGTAAAAGGCTAATAAAAGATGATTTCTTAGCTCATGACTAGCTAGAGGCCCCGACTTTGTTCTTTTCAGTTACTTTGTAATGTTTCCATTTCGACTAATGACGTGGTCCATCATCTGGTACAAGTTTTCTTGTTTTCCAGAAACCATTTAATGAAAAATGAAATTGTAAGAACAAGAGTATCATAGGAGACGTTTAAAAAGAAAGTTGTTTTTTTTAAATGTGAAATTTTCACGCATTTCCAGTTATAGACATATTTGTAGCGGATTGCTACCTTAGTAGATCCTCCTACTTCTAGCCATTAAGGAAACAGACGTGTAGCACGGAGCACGTTTATTCAGTGAGTATATTGTGGATAAAGCGTGTACACGCATGGAGCTACCCATGATCAGGATGGGGGATTAGGTTAAACAGAGGTTGATGATTGGTCACTGTTTGTACGGTCGCTGCACACAGAGTTGTACGGCCGCACCTCCCAATCCTGGCGAGCAGACATGCAGGCATACGATGACGCACAACGCGATACCTGTCCCACGTATTCGTTCTTCGGTTAACTGCGAATGATTTATAATTCACACAGCAAAATTTCGTATAACCATATTTTATTTCGCAATAATTCATAATTTGCGTAATGATAACATATCAGAGCAGTTTGCACAACAGTGAGTATAATGTTAAAAGAATAA